GCCCGTGATTAGCAAACTGTCATATTCACAGTGACAAGTACAAATTTGAAAGACTCATGCGTTGACGTGAAAATTTTCGTCGCAGATCCGCCAAAAACCGTAGAAAGACTTAACATTTTGTTCATTGCCATGTATTAACTCTGAGCGACTCTCATTTTATATACATATAGTACATTGACATACTATGATTCAATTCGAGCTTGGTTTGAAAAATACTTCTTCATCAATTTCCAGAGGTATAAATTAATACAACCTCTGCATCTAAAGCTGATTACTGTTTCCACCAAAACTCAGTAGTACTATGTATATCTCAGCTATAGTTATACCAAAAAACTGTAGTATAGTAGTTCTAATACTGACACGGCATAAAAGCAAAGAACCGTAAAAAAAGGTGTGAAATCCTATGTAGATCAATAGCACAACAGCATTGTACTCGTTTGCATTGTTTCACGTGATTACTGCAGTCGTCGCCGCGATACAGTTGTTTTACTGTTCTGCATTTTTCATGGTGTCTTACCACTCATCCACATTATTATAGGTCTCCGCATCTTTTATCGTCCCTGGGTGTTTTTGCTGTTTCAACTACTACTGGCTGTACTATACCGTAATGTATTCAGCTGTAGTTGTACGGCAGGATACTAGGTAAGACCGTGACGTAAGCTGAATGGCAGGCGTGCCGCTGCGTAATTCCAGAAGTACAAATAGATGACCCCGCAAAGTACTCCTAGGAGGACATTTGTTCAAAAATCAAGTATGACAGAAGTGGCGGAAAAAAATGTCTATGCCATTATGAGGAGACCTAAGGCAACACAAAAGAATCCAGAATTTGAAAGCAGTTCAATGACGTCCAAAGTAATTCGCGGAGTATGATGTAGTCCAAGGAGGACAGAGGCATCCGCTATATCGTCGCATGTACATAGCAGCGTCTACGTCGCCATTATAGCCTATACTTGCTAATTTCACTGATCTTACCCAATAGATGTTCAAAAATGAGATCATAGGAAATCTAGAAAATCTGATGGGAACTAAAGAAATTCGAGGATTTTCGTGAAGACCTCTGAGAATGTCTTAAGAAATCTGAACGGAGAAGATCTCCTGGCAAAGTGTCAGCGATTAGCTCCTCGACTACAACATACTAAAAATTTTAACAGATCCGAAAGACTCAAAAAAATTGCCTGGGCAACGGAGAACAATTTTTGTAATTTTAAGAAAAGGTTACATGTACTCGTAGTTTTCACTGGCTTACTTTTTTCTATACTCCAACTACCACGAAGTCTTAAGGCCTAAACACCCATATGGTACCGTGGGGCTATGAGAAGCTTAAGGGGAAGGGGGAACGCACACGTACTCTGGCCAGGGAACACGTGTGCATGCAACATGCACATATTCTGGCCCCGCCTACAGGATCCGCCTAGTGGTACCTCTGCGTTCGACAGTCACGGACAATTACAACATCCATAGCCAAGAGAAAAATTTCTCTTGGGGCGGGATTCGAACCCGACAGCGCACGGCGACTGATAAGAAAATCGAAGGGTCTACTACTGTAGCCACCGCTGGTGCCTGTCGACAATCACTCCATTCATGTGATAGAGAGGTAAACATGAATATGAGGTTTCGGTCTCGTCGCGTGTGCATCTAAAATAATTATTGGATATAGTGAATTCGGTCAGTTTGAAATACGTAATAGTTGAACCTATCCAAGTTCTTACATTTTCTTTAAAATTATTACGAAAGCTGCCAAGGGCATCATACAATACCGATTATGACATTAGTATCTTACAATCACATGAAATAATCTTAATTTGTCCATGGAGAAGTTCCCCTCACCATGAAACAAGTGTTTTTGCCGAGCTCTAACCCGGTGGGAACCTGTAAAAATTAATATTTTTCAACAAATCGAACTCAGAACATTGTCTAGTCTCCTCTGGCTCCAGGTCCCCCTCTTCGTTTACGATGTAGTGATTACGTGCGAACAGCTGACTCCTGGTATGTACACTCGTAGTTATTCCCTCATGTCTTATAGTTTCAAGGTAGCTTTTAATAAATTCAATGTCCTTATTTTTTGCGGAATCTGACACCAAGTTCTCCTCAATGTAGGTAGGTCACTTTTTCTGTCATACCCCTTTTCTCTTATGGTGACATTTGGTAGAAGCTCGGGGTAACCATCACGGTAACTCACACGTATGTCATCATGACAATATGTTCATATTCCGTGCAGTTATTTTCTCTACTAGATACTTGAATCGTCTTGCAAGCTCAATTCTTTTACAGCATCAGGGTATCACCTGTGGTTAGACCTTGTGCATTTATGGTAGTTGAAGAATAAAAAATATTAACATTTCACCCTAGATATTTGGGACTATAAAAGTGTGTCTGTGTCAGTATATAGAAAATTAAATACAGCGTATACTTTCCCTCAGTAATAACAGAACTCATATTCGGTGCTCGTTAGACAACGTGAACATATAGATTGAGTAGCACAGGACTGCGATGGTTTTTTCCTCAAAAACTGATTAGTAATTTGAGTGAGTGTTAGGGACTGAGCTACGAAAAAATAACAAAAATTCTCTCCTATATATTAATTTTACAACTCTCTTTGTATCATCTACACATGGCTTATATGATCAAATTTCCGCATACCTAGAGAGAAACGGTAACAAGAATTTTGTAGCCGATTAACTTTAACACAATAGCATTTTCAGTGTACTGCTTTATATATTTCTTTAAAGATACATTTGTTTGAGAATACTAAATGATTTTGAACATAATTCTTTAATATGTAAACCAAGTTTTAACTAATTGTCCAACCATAAGCTTGAATATTTGCTTATGGTTACAATTGGTAATGGAATTTTATTAAAAGTTTTTCTGCTATATTACGCTTGCTTCTTGACCCAAAAAACATTATTTTAGATTTATTAGCACTTGTGTCAAGTTATGCGCTGCTGAGATATTGCATAGTGAGTCCAGATCGTTATTAATTAAATTAAAATATAAACATAAATAATTTTCGTGAACTGGGTTTCAGCATGAGTATTCATAGTACTACTACTGAAATCTTGGTGGCGTATAAAGGTGACGGAAGACTACTGCTAGATGTTGAAGAGCAGTGAACCGGAGAAGTGGGAGAACAGAAATTTTGAAGGAAGTGGAAAAAGGTACGATGAGTCTTTTGATTTAGTTAGTTTCTTTAGCATTAATTTTAACTGCTACTGTTGATCCTTTAAATGAAAACTTGTATTCAATAATTTTAGTTCTATCATCAATATTGCTAAAAAGCTCCAAAATAGGCCTCTGTGTTCTGAATTCAGTTACATATATATTTGAAGGCCATATATTGGAAGGGGAAAATAAAAGTTAAACTCCGCAGGCCTGAGTAATATGTATGATATTTGTTCGGAAATAATTGTTACGATCGAGCTCAGCATCCATCCATATGCCAAAGCGGCTGGCTAGCTTCTGCTAAAGTGGAATACCTTGTAGTCGTTAATCAGACCTCTCAGATCCGATACAGTAGTTGCTTCCCTGAAAAGATTTCAGCAGTGAACAGTTCAATAGAGCCGACAGTGTGAAATACAGACCGGCCAGTAAGCCTATACAGGCTGATATGTTTTCCAAACAACACAAACGTTAATCTAATGGTATCAAATATCCAGTATGAGAGTAGATTCTTTGGCACAAGCGTAAGTAGCTATTCATCGTTTCTGTGTCTTAATGGCATATGGCATTTGCAAATTTTGCACTATCTAGTACAGGTTAGTCGCATTCGGCACGCCTGACCTCTCCAGAAACAAGGTGATGTCAAGGAAAAGAGAAGGAGAGGTCGGAAAAAAGGAGAAGAACTGGGAAAGGAGATGTACACCTTCGGTGAGTGGTACACACATTAGTTCTCGCGTTAAACATTGAATTTATTTCGACTTTCCAGATGTTTTTTCAAACTGTCATGGAGATGTCTTTTGAGGTCAGAGCGTATCATTTACCAAGATAGCTTGTGATTCATTTCGGCTGTTCCAGATAACCCATTACTTAATCTGGCACGAACTATTTGTTTAGGGCTAAGAAGAACTCTCTTCCGCATGACCTTCTCACTCTATCCAACGCCAGGATAAGACGTAGCCTCGAGTATTGCTCACACGTTTGGCGTGCTGCCGCCTCGACTACATTATTTATGCTCGCTACTGTCCAGACTGATCGATGACTGTTCTCTAACAGATAGGACCCTCCCGCACCGGTGGGCCGTCGACGATCTTGCTCTCTTCTACCGCTATATCAACGGGCGTTGCTCCTCCATGATACCGCCGCACGTTGTGCCTGCCAGACAGACCCATGTGACGTTGGCCTCTCATCCTAACCGTGTCGAACTTCATACATCCAGAACTGGTCGACACGGCCGTCCCTTTGTCCCGGAGGTGTCGAGATTGTGGAACAGTCTATAAGAAGAAGCTTTTTCTAGTTTTACTAGCTTTAGGCAGTCCAAAAATCGGATTAAAAAAATTTCTTTGGTATAAGGTATCCCATCAGCCGCGGTGTCCTGCCGTTCAGGCTTCTGCCAGCCGAGGCTGCATCGGTGTAAAAGAAGAAAAAATGGGCGTCTGATTCTCTGGATACGTCCATGCTGACGCGACCAACAAAATCTTACGACTGTCAGCAAGTATTTTATAGTTACGAAATGATTAAGAAGTATGTTGAAAACGGCATTCTAATAGGGATTAAGTGTTTTTGCGGCACACTGTCGATAAGCAACAATAGTCTTTGTCTAATAATAAACTTTGGCATAAACTGCATGGTTCTGCGAGCATAAATAAAGCATAATGGGATCTGGGCCTAACGGAGCATTGTCCTCAAAATTATTTTAATATCATTAGCACTAGGTGTAATCCTAAAATCAATATATATACAGGCAATATTTTTGTTTTGGACCACGAAATGAAAATGCATGCATGCGCTGTTAAATGCATTGTTTCCTGTTGTGCGCATTTTCAAAGTGCGTAATTGAGATTCGTCAAATGGCCAGTTCGCGTACCTCTGTGAAATGAATGTGGCCGGACTGACCAATGTGTCGCATCGCGTAACACAGTTTGAAAACCTGCCAACTCAGTTGATCTATTTTAAGGGCAGAGTTCATTTAAACCAGGACATTTTACCTGGTGATATTGACATAGGTACGAAATCGATTTGCAATTTTCCTTTGAGTACTTTGGAGATGATAAACTTGTTCAGTTTTCATGTGAGTATATTAAACCAACAACCTATATACTTAATTAAACACGTACATATACTCATGTTATGTGATATAAACTGTACTTGAACGAAGTAGTTATGAGCAATGTTACTAGAGGTCAGAAGTATTACAGGTACATGTCCCATCCTACTGGGAGGAAACTTGAAGTATTCCAATAAGCTCCAAGGCAATCCAAGGAAATACTCTATTCCACAGGGAGGAGATTTATGGATATACAATGAGATCCTACGGCAATCAAAAGAGATTCACTATCGCAGTGGGTGAAGACCCGAGGCAGTCCATGAAGATTTTTCAGTCGACTTGGATGAGACTCGAAGTACTCCAGGGACCTCCAGTGCAATTCAAGGAGAACCTTCTGTTGCAGTGGTACAATAAGTTCATTTCGTGAAGATCCGAAAAGATCCAAGGAATTCTGGAGAGTTTCAAAAATGTTTAAGAGTATCTAAAGAAATCTGATTGAAGGAGGTCTTTCAGTCCAGAGAAGTGAAAGTGTTTGATCGCCTTATCCAAGCTGTTGAAATTACATAAATTTAGTAGCTGCTCTTTTACCTGTTCAATATGCTAATGTATAAAAAATATATCAAATTTATCAGTTTACTGTTCTGTGACTGGTTGAGCATTCCGACAAAAGAAATGAAAAGAGTCCAGTTTAAGAAAATTAGTCTTATTTATGGGATTCACAAACATGAAACATTCCATGCCTCAACGAAGGCTACGCTTTTCATACACCCATAGATACAGTGCGTTTTTCCCCTATCGGCAGTCTAATGTGAGCTTAATCGTTTTACATGTAACAATGTATCAAATTTTCATTGAACGGTATTAATCGCTTTTGCGAAAATAGCCATAGCATAATTTCCCCATGATAAATTGAAATTGGACATAAAAACAAACCAAATTACGAGCTGTTATTTACAGTGAATGGCAACTAAAACGCTATTCGATGCCGTAACGTAATTAACGATGTCCCCTAATCAGCGACATAAAATTATGGACAATTTTAATGTTTTAAATAAAATAATTAATTGAAATCAAAACGTTAATAGCGAAAATACTTAATGAGTGCAAACTGTGTATTGTTCAGATTTTTATTGCTGTATAGCGTTTGCAAACATTTTTTCGGTGAAGCTCACTATCCGGTGGATGGTTGGATACTTCTTGATAGTTAAAGAAGTCTATGAGGCAACAAAGTGCACCAGATAGCTGTGGCCACATATTGAAAAGCTCCGTTCTGGTGCACTGAGTGCCTGAGTTATACTCCCCTACTTGCTTCGAGCGCAACTCGTCCTCTGTATGTCAGACGAAATTGTCAGCGGTGAAGCTTTCACTGAACATTTTTGCATGAAAAAACTACTTCTCTCAGTTGATCCGTCAAAATGTGCTGCAATTTATTTTGCTGCCACTACCATCCAATAGAGTTTCATCCCAATATTAGGTTTCACCTTTCGAATGCGAAATGGTAACTGCAGCCTTGTACAAGAATTTATCTTTAAGCAACGCAATATGTTTTGCGACATAACTTGATTCGAATAAAAAAACGTTACCTCAGTCATGTGGACCATTATTCTGCAAAGCAAGGAAGAAGTAATACTGTAAGCCGATTACACAAAAGAGATTCAAGTCTGTTCTGCTATGATGTATTGTGGAAGTATGCCAAAGATCTCGAAAAATATACACTCCAAAATCAAAGAGAATTTCCGTGTGTGTTTTCACCAAAGAGGTTGAAAATAATTGTTTCTGTCATGCTGAGCACCTTGAACATATTTTGTGGCGGCCTTTAACAAGACGATTTACTGAATAATGGTAATGCGTCATGTCCAATCTTAAAACGGAAACGATGAACAACTTCTGCGGTATACAATTTGTTCGACGACTTCAAGAATCCAGGAGGTCGCATAGTAACACGTGAGAGCAATGGACAGGGTTTTGAGTAATTCATAAAAAACAAACGCGTCTAAACAAACTCTTTATTGTTGCCTGTATTTGCTTGTCGCTGCCTGCTCAGGCATTTAAGGCCCGCTGCCTGATAGGAGTGCGCGATTTTCTTAGTCGGGAACTGGTGGTTACTTTGACGGGACGTATATGAGATTTGAATAAACTTCATCACCATTTGTGATGCGTTAATACCAAACATTAAATCATCACAGCAGGATGCGTTCGAAGCCGTTGCAGTGGGAACCGGCGACGCGACGCAAGCTTAAGCACACAATTAGAAACGGTGGAGAGGTTTTCTGTGTTATAAGAAGCAGGGAGATAATTATGCTCTGGCCAAGTGGCGGAATAAGCCTCCGACACATTGCAGCTTCTGCTGTTCAAAGGAACTTTTAATGGTTCGGTTGCTAGTGAATCTTCTAGGAATAAAATACAGGGTATACGTTATACGCTATGTGCGAACTGGGTCGTCGCGACCCTCAAATCGATCGCAGCGCGCGATGTCGTGGAGGTGTGTACTAGCTCGAAATGGTTCACATTTGGATATTAGAGCAAATAAATGAATTCATAGCTGCTGTAAAGATGAAAAGGCAGGCTACATAGCCTAGAATGATACTAGTGAATATACTTCATTCTACTGTTTACAAAAATTACAACTCTTTATTTATTTGTTGTTTTCTGTTTGTTTTTGACAAGCTCTCTTTTATGTTGATATAGTGTATCAAAGCAGTAGCATGTTTGCACTTGACACTTTGGTCTATCTGGAACTGAAAATAAACATCAAAATAATTAACATAGGCTGATGTGAAGCTAACTCAAGAATACAATTTTATTAAGTAAATGGGTACTCACATTTACTGATGTTGTGTAAGGAATTTGTGTCACAGTCTTTTGTCTTATGATGAGTAGCTTTTTCCGTTCGTTCTAACCTACCTAAGGTCTCTGACATGCCGAACTAACACTAATTTGTTTCCTTTTTACATAATTTGAGAATGGAAGTTTTAATCATAGTCTGTGGATCCAAACTCCAAACGTATTATCACATTTATCTTACCCTTGTAACAGATATCACAAGAAGGATCTGCCACCAGAGACGACCTAAACGTTAGGATCATCATCAAGTTTGAGTATCCTGCACGCAGTAAAGATATGTGGTACAGGAGCTTTTTGCTCCAATTGTGCGTACACAATTCTTCAACCATATGAATAATTCACTGCTAAATCGCTTTTAAAACAAAACGTTACCAGGCAAATAGACCATAGAATCTACATCACGAGGCTATAAAGAGAAAACAGCATTAGTGTTATCGTTTTTTCTTTTTTGAGGTTATGCGGCAGCCACCTTTGAGCAGTTTCGTAAAGTATAAAAATGGCGTCAAGTAGCTTTAATCAGGCAACGACGTCATCAGTTCATAAAGGATTAGGTCACGAAAAAAGTTAGTTCCGAATATGTACAACACAGAAATTATACGGATCAAGTCAGTCAAACAGGCACATACTGTCCATCTGGCAACGTTACCCTTTCCCATGCCTAATTGCACACGACAGCGCCCACTGCGGCACCGCTGCAGTACCGGGGAAGGGAGGTATAAATGAACTTATATCAGGAAAATAAGATATTTTTAACCCCTACTAAATTATTTCTGATAAGAGCCTCTAAGACGTCAAAGATGGAAATTTGAGCAGTTTTCATTTTACTCGTATCGCTAGCTCCGCTGCCACTGGACTGATTTTCAAAGAAAACAAAGCATTTTAGTGACACAAGACGTGTGAGAATTTCATCAAAATCCGAAAAATACTAACCAAGTTATAGAGGGTCAAAGATTAGCGGACAGACCGATAGACAGACAGTGACATGATTTATCGTGATCTACATGCCATGCATTATCCAAAAAATATAATCTCAATTTCCCAAATTTTCCCGATTACGATGCTTCCCACCAGTGGCATAGGTAGTACAACAGTTGAAAGGGGTCGACAGACCCGTCGCAACCCTTGAATTAGAACAAAATGGCCTATTTGACTTAATTGGCTCTATTTTCGTTTGGATGCATACCCAACTAGCAAAGTAGTGCTATAAGCTTATGGTAAAAGAACCGTGCAGCTCTCTATTGTTGTTGCCTGAACACCAAAATGCTGGCTTAATGTGGTGTGGAATGCAAATTTGCTTTCTGCAACATATTTGCTCTAAAATGAGGTGTTAAAATGCCATAACCAATGTTTTAAGACAAACAACGCATGCATATTGGTTAAAAAGGTTTTAACAACTGTTCAAACAGAAGATATAGATCTGGTACAAATTCTAGGTAAATCATTCGACTCTGTCGGTATTTCATTTCTGACATTTGTCAAATTGTTGTATAACACCTGCAGGCAACACCAAAATATTCTAATAAACTAAAGACAGCATGGACGATGCCATGGCTATAGACAATCACCCGCCATATTGGGCAAACATTTATTCCTCTATTTGATATTAAATAATTACGTTTCAGTTCGAAATTACAGATATAAAGTGATAAACATTAGTGTAATTGTGTCTAAATATAGGATTTGTGGAAGATTTAACGCAGATAAGTTCAGTTTTTCATCTTACAAATCTAGACATACTTTTGATCATTATTAAAATATGAATCAAATACGAAGCCCGTAGAAATTGCGTAACTACTTTGCACGATAATCACAATAAAATTTTGCTGCGCAAGTAATTCAATAGCCCTATATCACAGAGTAGAAGTTTATAGTATACCTGTGTATGAAATTCACAATGGCCGATATGTAAGTATACAAGGTGACTGTATTGTGTTAGATATATATTCTTCACTTCGTCTATACAATACATAAGAAATAGTTTTTTTGCAATAAAATAGAATCACGTAACAGAATAGTTGTATAGTTGACAAAAACTGAATCTTGCACTGACACAAATGTTCTATAGCGGCTGCAAGAGGTTTACACTTTTGTTGTATAAATGTTAGCTGCAGCCTTTATACCCTTAAATGACTGAAGTGTCCTATTAGGTGTGCCCATTCGGCTTGTATAGCTGTTCTAAGAGGGTTTTGCCAATGTTCTTACAGTATACAATGCTGTGTAAGGAATACTGTATAATCATTCTTGCAACTCTAATAGGAGTGATAATTGTTAGTTGGGTAGAGTACCTCAATAACTACTATATTATCACTCTCACTCTTTACCTCGACACCGTCTATGAGTCCTTTCCAAACAATCAAAGATGATCAATGACGTTGTCTTATATCGCACCTTGTGTTGTATTCCAAGCTTCGGATCACATCTTTATAAAATCTTGATATGTTTTTAATGGAAAAAAGCTACTGCACCTCGAGGAATTCAACCTCAGCCAAATATCACTGCCATATATATGACCTGGTTAAACAGAGGACGTTTCTCCTTGCTATGTAGAACAATGGAATGACAACATATTACCTAACAATTGTGAGGAGAGGGCTAAAAATAAAGTTGTATAATCATTACATAATTTGTCTGATGAAATGTA